GTTAGTGGAAGCCTTCCATTGAATTACATAAATTTGCATTTTTGTCAGAAATAGAAGCACCAAAAAGTATGCTGGACCATCGATTGTCATTATTTTTCATTCAGGGAAAGTTGTAGAATTTACACCATTGTCTATTATTCCTGCCTTTTGTATTTTAATATAGATTTGCAATCCTAGAAGCCCTTCGAACTTCCAGAACGATGAATCGGAAATTTTTGTCCTAAACTGAAAAAGACAATCAGTATTCCGCTTCAGAAAATGTATGACATTGAAGAGTAGACAACCTGCGATAAACAGATTTTATCCAACTTTTCCATCAATAACAGAAAGCTGGTCGAATTTATGATGTTATATTTCAACTATCACTCGTTTCTTCAAAATTATTCTTTGAAACTGTGAAAAGAATTTGTGAAAACGAATTTTGGGTGGACAGTTTGTGACAGCGAATAGGTTGGATGCGAATTATAAATAGAAAGATGAGTTAGGCCTTTCGGACTAAAAAAAATTGAATAAGTCAAAAATTGAAAAGACATTTCATTAATTAAAACGGTCGAAATTAATCTAAATTTCGCCCTCTTCCCTCAAACACAAAATTGTGTCAACATAAATCAACTTTTCATCGAAATTGCATCAGCATAATATTTTGTGTCATCTTAGAGCCTTTAATTAAATGACATCAAATTTGCATTTTTGTCAGAAATATGAAACATTAAAAATTAGAAGTGAGTCATCAATACTATTACTTTACTTTCGTTTAGGAAATGTAAGATATTTATCTTGTCAATGATATTTTATTTAATTAACGATCGCAAAAAAAGTAATAGTGAAAATAAAAGAAAACACATATTATAAGAGATAAAAGCGGACATATAGGGTTTGATTCCTTCCTGACTTCAAATTAATTACTAATATTAAAAAAAGAAAGAAAAACTTAGTACTGATTAACAGAAGCATCTCGATTATACAACATTCCATTTGATGAATGTATATCCAATGCATTTCTACCACATTCCTTCACAATTGATTGAAAAAAAAAAAATTAACGAAATTGAGCTTCAAGAAGAAAAACTTAAATCCCTCAAATAGTATAGAGAAGAATTATTGTAAATTTCATCCTTTCATGATTGAATTTTTTTGGATATTTAAAAAATTAAATAAAAATTAAAAGGATAAATGCTTTCTGTTATGCATGAATGAATGAATGTTGAAAAAAAAAATTGCAAAAATCATACGACACACATTATTGAAAGTTTAAATTGTGTGATAGTACGGAGAAGCTTTAAAAGAAAAAGTAAAAATAATAGAAAAGATAAATGAAAATGAAAATCAACCAATGAATATGAATTATTTAATATGTAAAAAATGATTCAGCTAACATG